AATGAATTTGCACCTTATAAACAGAGACAACAAGAGCTCAGTGTTCAAGACGGGTGTGTGCTGTGGGGAGCCCGCATCATCATTCCAGAGCAAGGACGTTCGGGGTTGCTGGAACAGCTACACCAGTCTCACCCAGGTATGTCAAGGATGAAAGGCCTGGCAAGGAGTTACCTGTGGTGGCCAAATTTAGATGTTGACATTGAGGCCCGAGTAAACGATTGTACTGTGTGTCAAGAACATCGAAAAGCCCCTGTGGGTGCACCACTTCATCCGTGGGAGTGGCCACGACAGCCATGGAGAAGAGTTCATATGGACTATGCTGGTCCATTCCTGGGAAAGATGTTTTTAATCTTAGTTGATGCCCATTCTAAGTGGATTGAGGCATATCCCGTAAATTCAGCAACAACAGCGAATACTCTTGAGTGCCTCAGAAAGAGTTTCAGTACCCATGGCATTCCTGAAATGATGGTGTCGGATAACGCTCAGTGTTTTGTAAGTGAAGTGAGCAAAGAATTTATGTCTAGAAATGGCATAACGCATGTTACTTCTGCCCCGTATCATCCATCATCTAATGGTCTTGCTGAGCGGGCAGTCCACACTTTTAAGGACCTTATGAAAAAAAGTTCTGGGAACACTATGGAGACCAAGTTGCATAGAGCATTGTTTAGCTATCGTATTACACCCCAGTCTACAACGGGATTGTCACCTGCAGAAATGATGATGGGGAGGAAATTGCGATGCACCCTAGACAGAATGCACCCTGACTTCACCAGCAAAATTGAATTGAAACAACAAGTTCAAAAAGAGCAACATGACCAACATGACCAACATGCAAAATCTCGCTGTTTTGAAGTAGGAGATGCGGTGTACACTAGGAACTTTGGGTATGGACCAAAATGGGTGCAGGGAGTAATTCAGGAAATCACAGGACCTGTATCCTATAAAGTGGCAATAGGAAGTGCCCAAATAGTGCGACGTCATGTGGATCAATTATTCAGGCGACAACAAAAAGAGATCCTGACTAAAGACTTTCAAGCGGCCTTGGGAGAACCTTATGATTCTGATGTGGTGTCAATGGATGCTGATGTTAAAATGCCTGAATCACTCAGTACGTCGACAACACTTGAATCTTCAGATAACTGGGAGCCTGAGAGTTTGAAATCTGGATGTCAAAGAAATCAATTGCCAGATTCACCCAGTGCTCAAAGAATGCCTGAATTGACTCAAAGTGCATCCCTTGAGAGTGCATCCTCTGGATGTCTACGACGTTCAGTAAGAGAGAGGAAACCACCAGCATATTTTAAAGACTTTGTGACATAAGAAATAGTTCTTCATCAAGAAGAACCTATTGAATTATGAATGATATGAATTGTGTGATGTAAAAAAAAAAAAAAAAAATCACTGTAAAAATGTCCTAGAATATGTGTTTTGGGGAAGGATTGCCTCCGAGTTAAGTGGAGGGGAAATGTTGTATGTTAAGGGTGGTATTGGGTTTGTCCAGTAGGGGGCGATGGCGCATTGTGTTTGTGGGCTGTTGCACTGTTAAAAGCAGAGAAGAACGCGCAGTGTGGGGAACTTGTGTGTGTATTGCTAGCTACAGAGATGAGTCCTAATAAAACGAGACCATCCTGAAGTTACCGTTGTCTCTGAGTTTTTCCTCGGTATCTACGATACAACATACGTCATAAAGAACGTCTTATTTCAGGACAGTCACCATTATAAAACTGAGCGTTATTCCTAGTGAAGTGTAAATTGTTTTAGTTTCTTCATGGGAATGTAATGGTCAGTTAACTGAGATGAAGAGCCTCATGACGTTTGTGGCAGATCAATGTGACCTCCGGAGGATTCAGCCTTCGACATGAGACACAGCCGGAGACTCCAGGATTTGAGGATCTGTTGAGATTGAGAATGTGTTTGTGTTGTTCACCATGAGCTCTGAGTGACTGAACTTACTCACAGCGGCCTTTCTGGAGCCCATAACCACGAGTAAGAAAGGGTTAGAGTTCAGGGTTTGTGGGACGGTAAGTTAAACCTGCTTTCTAGTCTCTGTCACTTTACTGTTACTGGTTCTAGATGTTAAATATTAGCAAAAAGGACTAAGCAAATCACAATACTGTATGCAGATAAATAAAAGAAAAAATGGTGGAAAGGTGTATTTTGAATGCTTAAATTAATCGAGACTTTCAGACTTGTCTCAATCTTACTAGTAAAACACTTCTAAAAATATATCACACACATGAGGCTGAAATTATCAGCAAAATATTATGTTATATCCTTAGTAAGAAAGAATGAAGGAAATTCTTAAATAAGGAATTCTTTAATGAACAGTATCAGTAGCAAAATAGTACAGCACAGATCGCAGCTCATGCAACGCTTCACTTCTCTTATTCCCCTATTCTCAATATTCACAGATCACGAACCTCTACCGCCACCTACTGTCCAGTATGCATAGAAGAATACAACAGATTATTGTAGCTGTTGGAGCTTCAATGTGCTCATAACCCCTCATTTACACTGCACACGTCTGCGGCGCATTACGGCTGCGACACGGCTACCGGAGCTGATCGCGGCCATTCTAGTCAATGCGTGTGTTTACACCGGCCGCGAAGCGGCGCGTTTCAGAAGCTTCCCAAAAGCTGCTCTCCGCGCCGCTTCGCTAAATATAGGCGCCTAGTCTATTTTTGACGGACGCCGCGTCCAAGCCGCACCGTAAATACAAAATAAAAGTAAAAAAACACTGTCAATTTCATAATAAACACCGTGTGCAGAATCCCAATTGTATTGCACACCAATATATCCTTGGTAAAATCCATAGGCTGTAGGTAGACACACAAAAATCAAGAAAAACCACGCCGGACAGGCAAATCACGTGGTCTCGCGCATCCAGTCGCTTCGCGTCTGAAATGCTCCTGGTGTGAGTTGGCACTGTGTGAAGGACGGAATAAAACCGTGTCGCAGCCGTAATGCGCCGCAGATGTGTGCAGTGTAAATGAGGGGTTAATGAGGGGCAGGGGCGGCGCCAGATAATTTTTAACGCAGGTGCTGAGGGGGTGCTAGATCATTGACAGGGGGAGCTGCGCAATTAGCCTATATATATATATATATATATATATATATATATACACACACACACTATTATTTAAATGAGCAAAATTTATGATGAGATGTGCTCCAGTTCACGTGCAATGCAATCGCGCCCGCGCCTCCTTATCTTTATCATATTGTCTGCTATATGTGCTTCTTATTTAGGCTATTATACCCAGTCAATTGGTTGATGAAAAATTGATTAAAATTAAGATACAATTTATACAAAACGAAATTCACTTTAAAAAAGGCTTTCTACAAAAAAAAAACTTAATTTATACTTAACATAAAAAAATAAAATAAAAACACTTTTTCCTTTAAATCCTCTTGTCTGGCTTATGCTACTCCGAGCAATGTCCGAACTTGGTATTTTGAGCACTTCTTGCGTTGTTTTTGCCTTTTCACGATGACTCGCTTGATTTAGTCCTCAGTTGAGTCGCTTTGGATAAAAGCGTCTGCTAAAATAAATGACTAAATGTAAATGTGTAAATGTAAATTTAGTGGTCAAAATCATGTCTGACCCATCATATCTTCCAATTTATCGCGCATCTTACTCATGCTGTTCAATTTTCATAATCAGCATAGATGTAAAAAACAACAAAAAAACATTATAATATTTTAACAAAAATGAAATTAAATGCGCTTATTTAATGGCTACAACACACACATAGTGGGCCTGACTCTCTAAATATTGAAACAATTAACATTAACAATGCTGAAGTGCATAATAGTAAATGTTAACTAATCTAATTAAGTGTTACCGATTTTTTATACACCGATTCAGAGGTCTCGTGAGTTCAGTGTTGGACATGTCAGTTGTTTTAACTATTCATTAAAGTGAATGGTTAAAATGAGCCATTCGTTTGCGTATCGGACGTGTCATTAGTGGACGTCTACGGCACGCTTGTGATTATCTCGGGAGTTTAGGACATCGCACAAGATTTGCGTCAATACAGAAAACATTTAATCACTGGAGTTTAGGTCAGCTGAATGGGCGGAACGCTTTTTAGAGACGATAAGCAAGGCAACGTGTTTTTTTTTTAGCACAATTCACACACCGCGGTAATTCAGGAGAACAAATCTCCAAATGCTACACGTGAAACTGCGGTCTTCCGACCTTTTACTATCGTGTCAATTGATTTAGATTAATATGCGCGAGAAGTGTTTGAAGACGTGAGAGTGCGCGCGCGCGCTGCCGGGGCTCTCTCTCTCTCTGCTCGTGATGCGCCCTGTCAAGCGCAGCAGCAGTCATTCTATTCTACATCACTCACCGATCAAAAAAGGCTTTGGCAGGACAGAAATTTGCCGTTATTATGTCGAAATACCGAGATATTATATTGAAATAACTTAATATCTCGAAATAACATATATTTGAATATAATTGATTCCAGACATTATTTTAGGGGGTGCTTTGGTCTTTCTTGGGGGTGCTGAAGCACCTGCTAGCCCCTCCCTAGCGCCGCCCATGATGAGGGGTAATGCATAATGCATGCAGTGATGTATAACTCACTAGGAAAACTGGACATTTTAACATTTCTATCATTAAAACAGAATGTTTGGGAGAATGTGTTATCTGGGAAAACACTCTGGTCTTGGTCTCAGTTTGTGGTTTTGACTACAACACTAATAATCTGTAAATCACGTCATTCTCTATGACTTCAACACAAAACTCATCAGTACTGAACTCAATCGCTCAAGTCCTTTTCTATTGTCATGATAAACCTGAATATAACCTGTAACCATAGTGACAGTGACTAAAGTAAACATTAAAGATGGACGCCCATAACACTGGAAATCCACAATTTACGTGATTTTATAATAAACCAAAACACACACACACACACAATGTGTCTGAAGATTATAATAAGTGTTGAAATGTAAATGGCCATTAAACAGATGTGAATATGAAGACTCACCTGATACAGTCAGTGTAACAGCATCACTGAAGTCTGTCTGTGAGTATGGTCCCTCTCCTCTACAACTGTATTCACCACTGAGAGACACATAATCAGCTGGGAAACTGTAAAATGCTGTTGCTGTTGTTGTTGTATATGGATAGTCAGTGTCTCCATCTTTAAACCAGATGTATCTCTGAATGTTTCCTCTCTGTATGTCACATGTGAAAGTGACTGTCTCTCCTATGAACACACGCTGATCTGGCTTCACCGTCATTACAGGTTTCACTGAGGAACATAGAACATTGAAAAGCATTGCAGTATCAAGATTACTTCATGAACTCAAAACTTCATCAGGAGAAAAACACTTAAAGTCCCCATGAATTCAAAATTGACCATACTTACTTTGTTTGCCTAAATTGATCGTTTTGTGGTGAACAATTCATCCATGTCAATCCACACAAAAACATTTTTTGGCTTCGTAATCTTTAATCAAAGTCTGAAATTTCCCCTCCCCTCTGCATTGGAGGACCTTCCCTGATGACTAGGTTTGACGGTTTGGGTGTCTGCTTAACATCCGTAATCACGCCCCTCCAACTGACAGTAGACAGGCTGAATATTGCTAGCTACTAGCTATGCCTTCGTCACGGAAATGCGTACTACCTGGATGCGATCACCGGATCACGTACAAAACAGATCGGTGTCCTTGTTTAAATTTCCGAAAAACGATTACATCAAGAAGACGTGGATTAATTTTGTGAAGAGCCAAACCTTGATGGAGAGCTGAGGATCACCGCCAAAACCCGCCTCTGTAAGTGATCATTTTACACGGGATAGTTTTATAAACTTTCGTCGGAGATAACTGTCTGGGATTCACTGATAATCCGCTGTTACTGGTGAATGGGGCCGAACCGACTCCCGTCGCGCCTACAACTGGTGTCATCGGCAGTGCGTGCCCACCGTGCGAGCATCCATTCCGGCTGTAGAGTTGAGTGTGGCGAGTCGACGGCAGCTTTCCCGCGAGTGGGCGTGGTTTCAGCGCAGCCAGTGGACACGCCCCCAGCGTTTGAGAGCAGAGATTACTGCTCATTTTTTCAAGATTTTGATAGCTTATTTTATGTACTTGCTGACTTTTTTTATCATTCAAATTTGGCTGGGTGACTAATAACAAATTTTTCTGTGGTGTGACAAACTCAAAACACATACTTAATTTTGACTTTACAGGGACTTTAAATGTTTTTGAAAACATTGTACACACTGTGATTCACATTATCTTTTGTTGTTTGTCTGAAAGATTGAAGAATATCTATCTTCCTTCTTTTTTTAAATGCATCAAAACAACACGGAAAGACTAAGAGATGAGAAGATGAACGAGTTATTCTCAGTACTCATCACCATTTAAATCATATTGTTTAAAAAATAGATTTAAAATTTGTTCTAAGGCCACTGAGCCTGAGCATGCTATTGTTGCACATAAAATATCAATGTTCATAACAGTGCAAATAATTCAAAAACCTTTAGAAAATCGTACAAGAGTTCAGGATCACACACCATGGGTTAAAATAGAGAGATTAAAAAGAGCCAATTTCTCTCCAAAACGGTACCAGTTTAAGTGTTTTGATAAAGAAATGAGAATCACTAATATTATCAGTTTACCTCACCTAATGCACTGAAAAAGGCTAAGATCGTAAGCTAACACTAATTACACTGTAATTACATGCCATTAAATATGTCACCAATTAAAAGGTAAATGCACATTGTTCTAGAAGGGGGGCATCATCCTTACATTTTACACGGCTACATTAAATCAAATTGTTGTGGTGATAATATAATTTGTAATGAAAAGTGTGCATTAAATAGGGAAGTATTTCCAGGAAACTTTTTCAAAAGCAACACACACACATTATGCAGCAATGTTGCATCTCAACAGCTCGTGTGTGATTGTTGTAGTGTGTAACGGAGGCCAACTAGTTGTTGCTGTGCGAGTAAAACCTCACTCCTCTGATCTCAAAAGGCTCTCTAGCGACAGATGCTAAAGACTGCAGTCTTTAGCCTCCTTGTTAGAGCGCCTGACTCTCATGCCGGAGACCCGGGTTCGAGGGTCGAGTGGGACCCGGGTGGAGGGGTTACATTGGTGCCGTGACCCGGATGGGAGTGAGGTTTAGGGGGGTGAGTGTAACGGAGGTGCAATGTGCAATGCTCTAAACCGTGTAAAACATGATGCAAATGCAGATCTAAATTTAATGCTGCAAGCCTGCAATCCACACTTTATTTCATTTTCACCTCTTTACTAGATGTTACGTGCCACATGCACTGACATAGAGAGCTACACCTATTAAAAGGCGCCGCCTGGAGTTCCGTCTCCTGCTCCAATAAAACACTCCACAATGAAACGAAAGTAGGCTACTCAAGAAAAGTAAACGTTTATTTTTACATGTATAAGTAGGGGTAAGATTTAATTCGCTCAAAACATAGTATGAACTGAGAGGGTTAAAGTCGGCCACAAAACAACAAAACAGGTCTTCTGACTTAGCCTAATTTTAGACGGTCTTTCCTGGGTTTAGAAATAAATAAAGATACAATGCTTACCTCCCTCCTAATCAATAAACAGGAGAAAAAGGTGAAAAGTAAACAGATGGCCTCTGACCTCTCAAAACACGGAGTTAAAGGGCTGAAGAAAATCACATTTACCAGCCTATAACGTTAAGAGTTGAGACGCTGCTCACAAGCTGCTTACACTAAGACGGGAGCATGTACACGACAGCCAACCGGCCAGCACACTGGTGGTTTTTAGGCAACCCCGTTCTCATACACAGGCTCAACAACACCTTGAAGCAGGAGGGGGAACTCGATGAACAAGTGTTCCACACGGCTTAAATCCATCCGATGAGACCAATCAGCCCCGCCCATTTACTCACCGCTGCACCTGTTACTCTCAAATGAGGGTGAAGTGACTGGGGCTGCGTTCCAGTCCACTTTTAGACACACACTTGCGAACTTTCCTAAGCACTTCCCCTCGGGGGAATCCCTGCCACCATTTTGAAGTGCGTTCCACTTCGTGAAGTGGACAAGGGAAGTTTATATGGACAGACACTTGTTCCCTCGATTTTGTCCGAGGGAGCGAGTCTACTTCATATGTACACTTCAGGCAGCTCCATATACCACAATGCAACACGATTGTGACGTCACCGCAGATCTCGTCTATTCACCACCACCACAAACAACTCTGATATATTAATTATATATATATTTAATTTAAAACAACCCAAACACACCTATATACATTTGGATGCTGCATTAAACAAATTCTTAAAGGAACATTTTTTTTTAATAATAAATCAACTCCATGGCTGATTCCAAGTGATCAAGGGCTTAGGACGTTCCAATTCAGCCAATTCCAGTTTCCGCCAGTAGTGGGCACTCGTGCAACGTAAGCACTGACGTACGAACCCGATCTCATGAAAGTGCGTATCTATACCACGAATGTCATTTCTCGTGCCATTTATACGCCAAAAATGTTTTTTTGCGTCTATATGATACGCAGTTTTCGCGTGCATATGATACGCACTTTATGGCGTGTAATACGCACGCACTCCCCACCCCCCTCCCCCCTAAACCTACCCAAGGGGTTTTCAGTGCGTAGCATATGCACGCAAAAAACATTTTTGGCGTATAAATGGCACGAGAAATGACATTCGTGGTATAGATACGCACTTTCATGAGACTGTGGACGTACATCCGAGTGAACAAGATGGAGGGAAGTTAGTAAGTGAAGGGCATGACAATTTTAGACTGGAACGCAGCCAGAGAGAGAGAAAACAAAGAGAGAACACATGCGCACATTCACTTGTTCAACATAGAATTAAGTAAAACATCTTTTGCGTTCCGACACGTAACACTCCTCCCCACCCCAAAAGATTAATGTCTGTAGCACATTGATATCTTCACCAATTCAGCGTTTTTCAGCACTGTTCAAAAATTTGAACATTTAGTTTACATGTGCAGGTGGATTTTTGTCCCAATGAAGCCTGTGAACAGCATCCCATGGAACAAAACAAAATTGAACTTGAAAAATGTGTTTGCGCAAGTCCATTTGCTAAATGAAGAAGGCGGATTATATGAAAAAAAAAAAAAAAAAAAAAAAAAAACCTTGTTTATTAACGAGCTGTAGTCACGCACTGGCCTACTAACTCCATAAGGTGCACTGCATACTGAATCTGGTCCTCAGATTTCAGTAGCTACAGAAGGTGTTTTTCCACAGTTTAGAGTGTGTCCACACACCTTTACAGTCTATGGGTACTAGTACTACACACGCACGGACGTGCTCATATAATTCTCGTCACAAAGGACTAGAAAGGTAGTAAGGGAGATTCAAAGTCTATTTCCCTTTCTCGCTGAATGCAGCCAACGAGGTATTTTGTTTTATTTGTCTGTATTTTGTGTCAGTAAAATGCCATTACATCTGTTACACGTGCTTTTGCTGTGTGTCAAGCTGATGTGACTTCTGTATTGTGTTGTTTATACTGGATTTGGAGAAAAGTCTTCAAATAAACCAGTAGCAAGAGAACACTTATTGTGTCTGCGTATGCTTGGAGGGAGATACAGTCTGACTGAACTCTTTTACAATGCAAGCCTGTTTGTTTGATTGATTGAATAAATAGCAGATTTATGTTTTGCAGCATAAGGAACTACAGTCAGATGATTATGTGAAATATATGCAAAGCATGGACATAAAACATCAGCAAAGAGATGAATGTGGGATCCTGATGTATTCATCTAGACAAATAAATACTACAACACAATTCACATTAGTTAAATAATTATATTTACTGCAGTAACGGACAGTACCTTGACTGAGTCCAGAGTGAACGAGGGACATCAGCACTAAAAGCAGAAGAAACACAGATATGAAGCTTTTCCATTCATTCAACACAATGTAAATCACACACAGAAACATGTCTAGAGTTTATTCTACATGAACTGAAAGTGTTTTTCTGTTCTGATGCTCATTCAGATGAGAACTGATGGATTATTCTCCAGCATTTAACATCATCACACACTGACTTTAGATCAGTGTTTACCCCCAGTTCATCTGTTATTCCACCTGGTGGCTCAGGTGTACTAGCTACTTTTAACCAATTTCAGCTCATCTCTCTCACTGAATTGAGGACTTTTTAGTACATGAAACTTACAACTTCATCTTATGATTCTATAACCTCTTCTATTTTAAAGGATGTTTTGATGTAGTTGGCCCCTCCATTCAGGTCATCCTAAATTCATGTCTTGCATCCGGTACTGTCCCTACATGTTTTAAGCATGCGGTTGTCCAACCCCTGCTCAAAAAACATAATCTCGATGTTAAATGCCTAAATAATTACCGTCCCATTTCTAAGCTTCCTTTTATTTCTAAAGTTCTTGAAGATTCTGTCACAGTTGCTCCCCTTTTTGACCACCTACAATATACTAGAACCTTTTCAATCAGGTTTTAGATCACTTAGTACTGAAACACCTCTGCTCAAAGTAACCAATAATCTTCTTCTTACACTAGATTCAGGTGATAATGCCATCCTGATATTACTGGATCTAATATTACTGATATTAGTGCCACCTTCGACACCGTTGATCACAACATCCTCCTTACTCGCCTTGATCTCAATGATAGGACTTTCTCAGTATCTATTGGCAAGTTCTCTTCATCTTCTGCTTCCGTTTCATACGGGGTCCCTCATGGGTCCATCTTGGGTCCTATGCTTTTTAGCCTGTATGTTCCCACTGGGTAACATCATAAGGGAGCATAACATCTCTTTTCACCTCTATGCGGATGACTCACAGCTGCCCCTAAAATCTAGGGATTCCATACAATCTCTTCTGGTCTGTCTCGAAGACATCAAAACTTGGATGGCTAACAACTTTCTCCAGTTAAATAGTGACAAGACAGAAGTCATTATTTTTGGTTCTCCCAAGGCAAGATGCACTGTGGTGCAAAATTTAGGTAACCTCACCCTATTTATCACACCTTATGCCAGAAACTTGGGTGTCATTCTTGATATTCTAGATTAGTTCTGTTGTCAAAAATAGTTTCTACCAGCTCAGAATGATTTCCCGCCTGAAGCAAAGAGTATAGAAGAACAAGAGGCGAAACTCTGATGCTTTTTTGGTAACGGCCACTAGGTGGCGCTTCGGTAGCGCGGCCATTTTGGGGTGAAAATTCCAACTGGAGTTACTGGACAACAGCACAGATAACAGTTTTTTGAGGTAGTTTTTTTCTTGCATTATTGAGTATTTCCATTTTATGCAACTTTACACATTTACTACTATTATTAGTTACCAACTCCACTAGGCCTGAAATATATTTTGTACGTTTTACTTTTAATCCCCTGGATCATGCTACAAACATGATGATCTTATAGAACATGATGCATTGCTGTGTCCGTTATTCTATAATTGCCACTTTTGGACAGTGGCTGTGTTTTTTTTTGTTTACAGTCTTGCTTTAACACTCATTAATAGTACTGCAAAAAAGTACTAGTTTACTGTAAAGCTATTCTATTGCTGTTATATATATTGTCCAACATTTACATTTTAGTACAATTACATTTATTTGCTGAATTCATTTATTTAATTGATAACTTATTTTTGTATGTAACGTTATGTGTACCTCCTGGGAAACGGTCTAACGTTATTATAACTTTATGAACTGATATCACTTTATTCTTACCTGTCACACTTAATGTAGAGAGTAATTAATTAAATCCTTGAACTTCCCTGTCTCAAGTTTTGTGGGGGGAAAAGCCTGGTTAAGTAGCAACTTCTTTTTAACTGCTATAACGTTAACTGTTGTGTGTTAAAATAATCACCTAATTATTTCAACCTAAAAATGACCTCTGCACTGAACTAAATATATGTAATATATGACTGCCGAGTCGCTTTCACCCCAAAATGGCGGAAGCGTAGGGCTGCTGCTGGGCGCCGGTGTTGCAATGGAACGTTCTATTGGCTTTCACTTCTTGTCAATATACATTCTTTGCCTGAAGTTATTCCTATGTTTTAACAATCTTGCAAGTTATCCATGCCTTTATTACATCACGGCTGTATTATTGTAATTCCATCTACTTTGGCCTCCCACAATCATCAAGACGTTTGCAGTTGGTACAAAATGCAGCAGCGCGTCTTTTAACTGGCTCTAGGAGACGTGAGCACCTCACCCCCATTCTGGCCTCCTTGCATTGGCTCCCAGTTCTATTTAGGATTCATTTTAAAGTTTCATTGTTTGTTTTTAAGGCACTTAATGGGCTCGCCCCAACCTATATCACCTCCCTGTACAGCCACACTCAGCTCAAAGGTCACGGAGTTCCCCGAACAAAGGGCTCCTGCTTGTGCCGCGCTCACGGCTTAAACAGAGGGGTGATAGAGCTTTTTCAGTTGCTGCTCCACGTTTGGGGAACCAGCTCCCCCAGGATATTAGATCTGCCCCCTCCATTGCTGTATTCAAATCCAGATTAAAAACTCACTTTTATTCCATGGCCTTCCTTGGTCCCTAACCCGGCACTCCTGTTTGTTCTTTGTATTTCTGTGTTGTGTGCCCTGATATTGAAGGTTTCTTTTTATTCATGTTTTATATTATTATGACTATTGATTCTATGTGTTTTTTTCATTGTACAGCACTTTAGTCAGTTTTGCGCTGTGTGTAAATGTGCTTTATAAATTAAAATTACTTACTTACACACAATGACGTCACAGGACTCGTGAACTGTTACAAGAGTCGATTCAAATCAAATACAATCCATTTGTTAACACGCTCCACAGCGCCACCCAGTGCATTTCATTATAACTGTGAGTCGGTGCTTGGGATTTATCATGGATTCACTTCGAATTTTACTACGTTGCTTTGGTGGCCGTAAAAATGCATTATTTTAGTTTTCGAATAATAATAATAACGGTTTCGAATATTCATGCACACCCCTAATTGACCGTTCGCAGGCCCCTCCCCCAAAACGGCTATTGTCCAATCACACATCATAGCAACCGTTACTATGTGAGCAGGTCCGTCACTCCAAGCAAGATGGTGAAGCGGTGCGCCCACGGCGTTTGTAAATCGGACACTAGATATCCCGAGAGATTGTCTGGAGGAGTTGTGTTCTTTTCGTTTCAAACGCCGAAAACACAATGGCCCTCATTTATCATTCTTGCGTAGAAACGGGCGTATATGTTGGCGTAAGATTATGCTTACACTCCTCTCACCGCCTGATTTATGAAGCTGTGCGTACCTTTGAAATCCAGGTGTACGCAATACCTGCCCTTGAAAAATGCCGCGGCTGAAAACGATCGTCATTAGAATAACACGCCCCTCAGACCCGGCGCCATGGGGGGGCATTGGGGGGCCTGGCCCGCCCTGTGAGTCACTAGTGCCCGCACTGGACGAGCCTGTCTCCCTTCATCAACTCTACGTCACTGTAAAAAAGGCCACCATTAGTGTTATATTCAAGTGTCTCAGTTCCTTTGTTATATGACAAAATTGACGCATTCGTCGCAGCATCCGTCCAGCGGGCCAATCCGCGCCGCGGAAAAGACGTGCAGGTCAGTGCTCCCGCCCACTGAATCGAGTCTGACGATCGGGAAAGCGGATGGATGCAAGCTACTTTAGTGTAGTGTTTACCTTTGCTAAAGTTGTGTGCGTGCCTGTAAAGTAAGTAGCAGCCTGTTTTTACATTGCTTTCTATTTAGTTTATAAACGTTTGAATAGCCCAGCATGTGGAAAAGTTAATGTATGCGAGTGACGATGCGAACTAGCTCGTAAAGATGTTCGTGTGTATATTTGCATACTAGTTTCCTCAGGTATTTCGTTGTTATATTTAGAAGACATAATCTATGTACCTTTTAGTCATTATATGGTTTATGTAATATATATATCGCTCACTTCTAGAGTTAAAGCACGCTTTGGGCGCATGCGCACTAATGTGCTAGACAGAGCGGCTCCATTTCTTTCCTCAGCACGCATAGGTGTCGCATTTCAACCGCTCAGTATTAATCATTTTTTATCAGTGCATTTTTCCATATAATGGCACATTTGTTCCTATTGTACTATATTAATCATAGTAATGTAATATTCATTGTGGAGATTACTGTCACTATGTTTATTGTGACTACTATTATTTGTTATTGTTATTTGTACTTATCTATTTTCTTATATCTGTATTTATAGAAAACCACACACACATGCAAAGTCGAGGTTATTCAGTGTACTGAGTTGTGGTGACAATAAATGGGTTATTCCCGAATACCTGATATAAGTCTCTCACCGGACGCTCTGTAGTGGGTCTGTTATCAACCGGCAAAGTCAGCTTCTACTAGCCAACATTTCTTCATGGTCCTTCGAGCCGGATCCCCAGATTTACTACGGAAAGATGTCACAGTATGAAGAGGATGAGCCAGTCGTGCGTGTCAGGAGGAAGACAGCCCTCCCCGCACGATATGAAGAGTATGACCTCAGTGGCTTCACTCTCCCAAGACTGTTTCCAGAACCCATGTCACCACACTCTCAGTTTCATCCTACAGTGCCTTCCAGCCCAGAACCAGAGGGTGCAGCTGGTATCACACCAACATCGCTACTGTGCAAAAAGCCTGATCGGCCTTTACAGTGGTCTGATAATGAACCATGGGGAACCAGCATCCTCCAGCGTGAGAACAGGGATCTCCGCCTTGCCCATGACAATCTGCTACAGACGATGCAGCAAGAAAAAGACCAGTACTCACAAGAACTTTCTCAGCTGAAACGACAAATGCAGCAGCTACAGATCCAACTGGAGCAGCGACAGCCTGCAGCACAGTCTTCTCCTCCTGCCACCCCTACGCGACCTGTACCAGCGCCACGCAGTTCGCTGAGA